ATGACACTGTACAGAGGTTCACGACAATTCTAAACTCTGCAAACTACTTCACAGCGGTGAACTACGACAAAACAACCACGAAGATTTTTCTTCTATACGGCGCACGCACACAGCATATAAGCCTAGGTGTCATACACAGACAGAAATAACCCACTTGAGTGCAAGCATATTATTTGTGTTGCTTTTCCCTGCCATGACGTGGGTGACGCCAGGCTCGTCGAAACGTCTATACACTGTAGCTCCGAGACGTTGAGCAAGTTCTGCTTGCCTTTCTTCACAATCAGCTACGGGACTACCCGGTGCAAATGACTTCCTGTACCCAGTAAGGAACAGGCCTACACCGGCCAGTGCTTGCGACTGAAACCCGCTTATGATTGTTCCCACGCTGAGAGTCACAACATATCATCGCAACAGAAACATCAAAACATCCATTTCTAAACTATATATACTCAGTGCCGTTACCAATACAGACTCGGCTACGGCCGAAAACCCAAACAAACCTTCGCCGTATACACCCTGCACGCAGTAGGTTTCTGTTGTTGTTACCATAAGTAACGACAGCTACTACAAACACGTTTCTACCCGTTCATGTACAGGCGATTGTATCAGGCAGCAGCGCACGATATATAATATAATATAATANATATAATATAATATAATAATACCTGATTTCATTCATTCAAACCACAGATATACAGCAGCAGTTTCGTTGCAATCATTTGTTATGCACTCCCTCACTTTGCGTTCCAAGGATCTTTGAAGAACTCCTGATGGACCTTTAAGAAAATATTAATCATATGTTGCATGTGCCTATCCCAATCATAAGGTCTAGACAAATGTTTCGTTGCAGAAGCAGGTACAGGTGAAGGCCGTTCTAATGCAGTAGCTCTTTGTCTGGGGTTTTCCGCTAATGCAGCTAAAGTTTCCTCTAAAGGTAAATGGGGATAGTGGGCTAGTAATTCAGGTCTTGATGAATCAAAGAAATCGTAGTGCTGCGCCTTCACCACATGCGACACCGGTAGATCTGTCCATATATTCTGACGATCATCAAATGCCACCACGCAACGACGGTCTAGGTCCCCATACAAACACCGCACGGTTTTGTTTTCCGTTTGTTCGCCTCTCCCCGACGACTCGCGCGCTACAATGCTGCAACAAAAAAAAACCACAAACAGGCATAAACTCAACAGCAACAAACACAACCTCTACCCGTGTGCATCCGCTTCATCCACCAACGAAAAAAAAAAAACACACCCACACACACAGCCTCCCTGTGCTGCCTCCACCGCAACAAAATGAAAAAACAACAGCAAACGGCCCCCCCCAACAGCCATGTACGAGCCCATCAAAAAAGGGAGATAAAGAAACATGAGACAGCAGCAGCTGCTGAGTATTGCACAGCATAATCATTCAGAAATTAGTGAACAGCATTTGGCAATGCAGCAGCACTTTCCCCCTCCGTCGCAGATAATCACGATATATTTATAAAATAAATTCGGGAAATCCACGCATTCCCAGGTGTACGGGCAGTGGCTCGCGTTGCAACAATCATTGTTTAAATACTGTACGCTAACAACACACAGAGGTGTAGTGTGACCATTTATATTAAAGATCGAATAAAACTGCATAGAAAGGAAAAAGCCGCATCATCATTATGTTGCTGCTGTCGTATCATCTCTGTCCTTCCTGAATGTGCATAACTCAAGCCTGCCCATATGCTGTTGCTGTTGCTTTCAATAGAGAGACCGCGGGGTAAATAAAAAAAGTGAGAAGGCAGCTGCTGGCAATTCCTTGCATACACACGCCGTTGTTGAACATCCCCTGTCGTGCAGAAACCCTAACTGCCGAGAGCAGGCAGCGAAGAGACGTGCTGAACCCGCCATAGAAAGCACCATGCTGTTAGTTGTTGTTGCTTGCAGTTTGCAGCAAGTAATCATATCTTATATATATATTGCTGCACCCAGCTAGGCCGGGTTTAGGGTTTATGCGAGGCGATGCTGCCGCGCTTTGAAGATCCAAATAGCGAAATGTTAAGCAAGAGGAAATAAGAATTGTCGTTATTATAACCGAGTGTATGCACAGCACAGCATTGCATATTCCCAGCTGTCTTTCAGCCGCATTGCTTTCTCTTATGATGACGGTGGTGCGTCTTGCTGTTGCTCTCCTGTGTACGCGCGCACAGCGGCGGCGCAATTCATGTTGTGTCGTTGTATATATTACCATCCCGTGAAGGTCGACACAGACCGCCAGACGGCATCAGATTTGTCACGGATTTCTTGCAGCATCAAGAGCTGTTGTTGGTGTTGTTGTTTCATTTGAATATTGATCATCTATCATCTTCTGCTGTGCACCAGTATTATCCTTTTCTGGTGTCTTCTTATGCGGGAACAGAACAAATATAATGCTTCAACAAGCTCAGATAAAAAGAGAACTCCTCGCTACCTGTTGCAGAACTACTGCTGCTGCAACCAATAGGAAACAACAAACAAGGGGTCAGAGCTATCCTCACGCAACGAGAAAGCTACCCCATAGACGAAACGCATCCACACGGCTTTTGTTTNGGGTCAGAGCTATCCTCACGCAACGAGAAAGCTACCCCATAGACGAAACGCATCCACACGGCTTTTGTTTGTATTTTATTTTATGCTGTATTTACATATCTATCGCCTGCAGTTTGACGGTCCCGTACACTTCATTTCTCCCTTCTTTACAATCATCTCCTCACGCAACACTCAACAACAACTGCTGCTGAACGCCAACAACCTGCGGCGCTTACATCTGCCCCTGTCCTGTCACTCCTCTTAACCGCGAAAGCAGAAAAGAAAATACCACCAAAGCAAACAACATAACACAACGCTGCTCGAACAAAACTCCCCAATGCGACAAATGCTGGTTCCCAGCAACAGCTACATATAAGAACACTGCAATGCACTGTACTATGACTGCCTTGACGCAACTATGTGCCCCATTTCCCGCATGAATGAAGTGGCTGTGCATGCATGCATGCATGCATGCACCTGCAGTGCATGCATGGATGTTTGCATGCACGCATGCATGCATGCATGCATGCATGCATTGCGCTTATTTCGTGGGGTTAGGCTGACGGCCTGTCCCGATCCTCGGGCCGTTCAGGCGAGAGGAGAGCAGCCCCCTTCTATCCCCCAGAAACAGCAACAGTAGCGGCTACTGCATCATTAAAGTTATTATCATTTATGTACATTAAACACAACATAATACACTAGAATAAAATGCAACATCATCGGGGGAGTTGTATTGCTGTTTCATGCAGAGATCGATGTGAATGGGTTGAACACTACAAACCGGAAACCCGCGGCTGAGTCAAGTTAATCTCATT